TTTTTAATATTTCAGAAATGATGTTTAACAGCAAAGAAATTTTTCACAGCATGTCTCACAATGTTTTTCTTTCTGGAGAAAGTCATATTTGTTTTATTTTGGCTAGAATAAAAGCAGTTATTAACTTTTTTAAACACTATTTTAAGGACAAAATTATTAGCCCCTTTAAGTTATTAAACCCTAACCCCAGCCCTGAAATTAGTTATTAAAACTATTATGTTTAGAAATGTGTTGGAAAATAACCAGGGGGCTAATAATTCAGGGGGTTAATAATTCTGATTCAGCTGTATATGAAAAGCAGATAGGATTTTAGTTATAGTGTTTTTTTTTTTTAAAGCACACACAGCCCATCCTCTGTTAGTCGGGTTAGACGGGAAGAGCGTGTGTTAGTGTCAGACAGCTGATGTTTTAGCCATACAGACCTGGACGCTGCAGTGGATTCTGAATCCTTCTACAACAGAAGGCAGAATAAGCAGACGGAGGTCACTGGATAGCATCTGCTGCCTGTGAGTCTAGACTAATAATGCACTGTCTAGCAAGTTCTGGATAATGAACTTACTGCAAACTCCGAGTAGGAGGAGGCCACGGATGTGATGGAGTAGTTGCTGTGAGGGCTGGCGGTCATTGTGCGTAAAGCGCCGCTCAAGTGAGAAAGATTCTCCTTATTCCTTTCCAGACCGCGAGGAGTTCTGCCGCGAGCAGGGGTTCGAGCGTTCAACTAGCAAAGCAGTTTACAATTTAATCCATTATATTTATTGTATGTTATAGTAATGTGAAATATCCAGTTGTGAAAAAGCTGCACTCACCTTGCTGGAGGAAAGAGGCGGTCTCATAGAAGGGGAGGAGCATATGGAGCGGAGTGTAGTGTTAGGGGTGGAGCTACACATGCTGGAGGCAGAGGTCAGCTGAAAAATAAAGAAGGTAATAGATATAACGGTCTAACACTGCATAGCGTACATTTTTTTAGCAAATTGTATGTGATCTTATTAAAACACTTTGCAGAGCATACATAAACTTACTTTTGTGCATATAGTATATATAGTTGCTAGCATTTTCATTTAAGTATTATATTTGTGATACACATTTGTTATCTGTATTATATCTGGACAAACACATAATAATAATAATAATAATACAACATTCTGATGCTTTAATATTTAGGTAAATAGTTATATCAAATTTATTTATTTTATACTATATTTAACCTCTTAAGGCCCAAGGTGTTTTTTTACATGCATTTTTGCATTTCTTTTACTATTACTATTATTATTTTGCTATTTGGGCTTATTAGAACTTAATTAGAATAAAATTCTAAGTATTATCTTTTGATATGATGTAATTTTAAAGACAAATTATGTCCGTATATGTGGACTTGTGGTCCGAAATTATATAAAACACTTTTTCCTGGCTGTTTTGTAATGCATATTTAACATATACATTTTTTTGAACATGTTTTGACTATCAGAGAGTTAAAAAAAAAATCCCATTTTGGACAATTAAAAATAGTGTTGGGACATTTGCAAAACAAAAACAGTTGCAGGATGACTGCGTGTCTGTAAGAAAATATAATACAAAGTATTTTAAATAGCTACTTAGGAGCTAAAATGTGCTGTCCTTGTATGTGGCCACTAGGAGGTTAATTTTGTGATATATACTCACCGGCCATTTTATTAGGTACACCTGTACAACTGCTTGTTTACGCAAATTTCTATTCAGACAATCACATGGCAGCAACTCAATGCTTTTAGGCATGTAGACATGATCAAGATGATCTGCTGCAGTTCAAACCGAGCATCAGAATGGAAAAAAAAGGTGATTTAAGTGACTTTGAATGTGGCATGGTTGTTGGTGCCAGACGGGCTGTTCTGAGTATTTCGGAAACTGCTGATCTACTGGGATTTTCACGCACAACCATCTCTAGGGTTTACAGAGAACGGTCCGCTAATGCCTTATTGATGCCAGAGGTCAGAGGAGAATGGCCAGACTGGTTCCAGTTGATAGAAAGGCAACAGTAACTCCTGTTTCGGATGGTCAGGTCAGAATTTGGAGTCAGAACATGAAGGCATGGATCCATCCTGCCTTGTATCAATGGTTCAGGCTGGTGGTGTAATGGTGTGGGGGATATTCTCTTGGCACACTTTGGGCCCATTAGTACAAATTGAGCATCGTGTCAACACCATAGCCTACCCGAGTATTGTTGCTGAGCATGTCCATCTCTTTATGACCACATGTACCCATCTTCTGATGGCTTCTTACAGCAGGATAACACACCATGTTATAAAGTGCGAATCATCTCAGACTGGTTTCTTGAACATGACAATGAGTTCACTGTACTCAAATGGCCTCCACAGTCACCATATCTCAATCCAATAGGGCTCCTTTGGGATGTGGTGGAACGGGAGATTCACATTATGGATGTGCAGCCAACAAATCTGCAGCAACTGTGTGATGATATCATGTCAATATGGACCAAAATCTCTGAGAAATATTTCCAGCACATTGCTGAATCTATGCCATGAAGGATTAAGGCAGATCTCAAGGCAGAAGTGGGTCCAACCGGGTACTAGTAAAGTGAATCTAATTAATTGGCCGGTGAGTGTATAATTCTAAAATATATAAATATACAGATAAAAGGTCAACTAATTATAAAAATGTACAATTAAAATGATAAATGGCAACCAACATACTGTACAATAATATCCGGTATTACCTTCTCTGCTATTGAAAATCAAAACAATGATGAATTTATATTTGCTTATCATTATTATTATGCAGCACGGGTACCTTGCGTGTTTTTCCAGGTGTCGGGGTTCCCGCAATTCTCCTCTTAGTTGGGGTTCTGATGACGGTACCGTACAACAGATCCTCCTCCGTCTGCTTTATTTTCTTCATTTGCTGCACAACACAAAAAAAACCATGCCTCTATGAAAAACGTCAGTCGTTTAATACCTGAAGTGGTCAGCTCAATTATCCATTCATACCCGCTCCTGCTTCTCCATCTCTTTCTGCATGCGGTGATGACTCCACTGCTCTTCCACATACTGCAGGAACTGCTGGCCGTTCACACGGAACTCTTTACACTGCGCCGCTTCCCATTGGTCGATCTGAGCCTTCAGACTCTTCTCCAGCTGACCAATCAGGAAAAAACAATTAGCATACAGGCTTGCCCAGTCAATCAAACGATCAAATTAAAAGAGCAGCTCAAACCTTGGGCAAACTCTTCTGCAGGTCCACCCTCTGCTTCTCCTCCTTCAGCAGGTTTCCTCCTCGATTGTTGAAGCGAGAGGGATCGGTGGCTTTTTTCTAGAGAAGGAGCCGTTAAAATTGGATTCAGTTTGAAAGTCTTTTTGAAATGCCTATATTTCAGATATGATCTTTTTATGTAGTGTAATAATATCTGTTTTAAGGAGCCATCAGTAAAGGGTTTCCACCAAATCAAATATCAAATTCTCAAACTTTCACTCACTAAAATTTCGCAACATCTAATGAACTGAAAAACAGTTTGCTTCACATATTAAAATGGCTTTGGCAGAAATATCATTTTGCATGACATTAATGGACACTACTAGACTAACTTACCTCAGAAAGTGCTCACTCACTAATATCTGATAGCTCTACAGTAGTTTTACAAACTTTACATTTAGCTTTTCTGTCATGAACTTTAACACCTAGTCTTGAAAAGTCATTTTGAAGCCAAAGCTCTTACAATTTTCATTATCCTTAGTAACCAACTAGCCTTAGTTAACAGGTGCTTTGAAATGTGCATTTTTTATGAATGGGCATGTCAGATACTACAGAGCATTTGATTGGTCACGATTTGATGAGAAACTGAAGTATGAGGTTGATCCATTTAGGCGGAGAGGACAAACTGCAAGGGTCAGTGCATCTTTTGGTCACTGGATTTTCATTTTAGAAACAGATATTGACAAAACGAAAAATGAGCCGTTTTTTGATTTTCGTTTCAGAATTTTAAACGAAAAAAAAAAAAAAAAAAACGGCGCTTTTTTATGGTGAAAAAGAGAAAGCAAAATTCAAAAGTGATATGATTTTTCTTATTTCGAATAACAAAAAACAAAATTACCAGAACACAAAAACAAATAAAGACTTGTTTTTTTTTATATTTCAAAAATAATAGGTCTACTCATTAACGTTGACGCAATGCTGCCACACGCAGACAAGCCTACTATAGGCTATTGTTTTTTCCCCACTTACTAATGTTAGAAAGCGGGATTTTGTTAAGACATATTTCCCTCATTAAGACAATATATTTCTCATATAAGGGCCAGTTATAGGCTATATATTTATTTTTTGTTTGCATGTTTTAAATGAAACAACCTTTATTTTGACCTTACATGCAAGCATTAGGTTGCTTTACTGAACACTTTTCTGAAAAGCAAGTTTTAATATTGTTAACACTATAATACTTCCACTTACTGAAGTTTAACCATGAATCATTTCAAGCGAGGACATTAATACAATTATAGTATTTTAAAATAAAAATTAACAATTAATTTTATCTGAAAGAAGGCATGCTGCACAAACACCCTGATAGGCATCCCGTGTCTTTTAAAAACGGACCAGTACTAAGCTTGCAGATGAGTTGTGTTGTGCGTGCGTCATCACCCCGCTACAATGGGTCTATCCACAGATTTTTAACACAAATTGAAATGTAAAAAAAAAAAAAATAGCCAACTGCTATTATATATATATATATATATATATATATATATATATATATATATATATATATATATATATATATATATTTTTTTTTTTTTTTTTTTTTTTTTATATATATATATATAGATAGAGAGAGAGAGAGAGAGAGAGAAAAAAAAAAAAAAAAAAAAAAAAAAGAGATAGTTGGAAAAAAAAAAAGAAGATGTTTGTTTTTTTTTTTATTTTTTTTTTTTTTTTTTTTGTTTGTGTTTGAAAAAAAAAAAAAAAAAAAAAAAAAAAAAAAAAAAAAAAAAAAAAAAAAAAAAAAAAAAAAAAAAAAA